CATTTCGCGCGAGACAATGGTGCGCGGTCAACGTTGTAATCTCGCGCCGTCCTTTAAGTAGATATGCAAATGCAGTGACACTGCTTGGGGATTACTCCGCCACGGACGGTGATAAGCATGTGTGCAAACACCGCGACACTAAGGGGTAGATAGAGGCGGGTCGGTCGATCTCAGTTACGGATTATGCTTTTTCTAGATAAGACAAGAGCGAAGAGAGAGATAAGATTACCTCGCGGTTGAATAACTTCCGAAACTATAGGCTTCTCGTTCGTCACGCGTATACGTGCGTTGAGACGCATCGATATAAAAAAAGTAATTATCCGATATACTACAGAAACCGTCAATCGCACGAGAAAAAAAAATCTCTCCGCGTCACACACCTAAATTTAAACGCGAGTACGTACACGTACGGAGTTAGATGTTACGATAATATTGTTCGACGGCAGAAAGAGCGGATCGCTCGGAAAATAATCTATAGACGCCCCCTCAGAAAATTTACCCGTCCCCCCAAGGATAAAATAAAACGCATGTTGAGTCGATCGCAAACCGGTGTTGTACGTACACCCACACGCACCCACGCGCGTACACAAGAATGCGCGTTGTGTACAGGTAGAAACCAAAGGTAGAAATTAAACATCCGGAGCTCGTTGCAGTCGGACGATAAAGCCGCAGAACGATAAACAGGCGCGCCGCTTTAAGCTCACTTCAGAAAGACGTATATGCAATTCACGACAGAATTGTGGACAAAATTCTGTACATTTCATTATGTCGCGTAAGGTAGAAATTGCGAATTAAAAATTGCAACATTGCAGCGTGCTTTATTTCTTCAAATGAACAGAAAGCGCGTACTAAGAAACGCGTACAGTGAACTGACCTGAAAAAATTCTTATATGAGGAATTACGTGATTCGTGATGTCGAGGTAAAAATCGTCCCGTGCCATTCAGCAATGCGCGAAGAATCGATTTCTTTCTGTCAAAAGTTTCCGGTTGGATGTTAGAAGGGCGTGCACTCGATTAGTAAAACACAATAAACTGAAGTGCAGTCAATGATACGAATAATTCGAAAAATGGTATCAACTGTAATCTTTCATGGTGACAGATGTAATACTGACGAAGAGCATAGTAGAAAGCCTCAGTGACTCTTGATAATTACAATTACAGCTTGTAGTATAGTTTTATTTCGAATTGTAATGCAATTTTGCGTATTGTAGCATGAGTGTACTTACAAATGTAACATAATAACATTAAATTGATTACATTAGAATAACTTTGACAGAAATCATAACATCATTAATCTTCTTTACTATATAGATAATCTTAATCCTGAGTACTGACTGCATTGACAATTGTAATCATTTTAACGATTTCCGCATGCTCAAGTGCCTTAACGAGCATAATGTACTCGAAACGATTTAACGGCTTGGCGAATTACTAATTAGTTTTCGAGTGCCGTGTGTTAACGTGTTTTGAAGTGGCGAAGTCAAATTCGAAGGAAATGCAGGTAAGTGACTTGAGTGAAGTTAAAAGTTTCAAGGAGCCAGCGAAAGGAGGTGCCGAAAAGAGAGGCCCTTCATATAACGATGAAAATCGGGCTCAATTTGTTCTTTTTCTTTCTTTCACCGTGCACTTTCTCCCTTCGATCCGTCGACTCGAAGCTTCACATTCGTTGCGGGTGCATGGAACACATTCGTTCGACACGTCGCCGGTTTTTCGTGAATAACAATCACGCAACGGCACCGCTACCAAATACGGAGTCGTTCACTTTTCACGTTTCGGTCCGCCCACGAAAGTCATAAAGCCGACAGAGAATGAGAAGAAAAAGGCAGCTTTCCATCGTTAATGTGATAAAACTTTGTAAAGATTTTTAATTTCTCAGTATTTTTATTTTATTAATATTAAAGTTAATACATTTCTATTTTACTGGTCGTATAGAATATATATACACATACATGTGAAAAATGTAGATGTATTTTAAGCTGAGAACGTTTAAGAGAGGAGAACGTTCGCATGATTTTCCGTGATAATTTTTGCGCCAAGTTTTAAGTGAAATTCTTAAGCTGCAGTATGACGTCGAAGTAAAATTACAAAGTTTGTCCCCTAAGATGGCTTTTGACGCATCGAAATTAGTTTCGCCAATAGGAGCTCGGGTACGCTTTGAACTCGACAAGCAGCTATATCCATGATATTCGATCGCAGTGTAATTCCGAGTGACGAGCATTTATTAAACAAGTGCATTTGAAAGGAATGCTCCACTTACGTATATTACATAAAACTCGCGTATGACATCACACTTCCTTTCGTCATATCGCGTTATCTAAAAACCCTAATAAGTACATGAAAATTCCATGGGATTAAATAAAATTGTCTTGAAAGTAACCAAAGATGTCCTGATTTTTGGCATTGCCAAATTTAGGAAGAATTCGCGCAGCAAAGGGGATATTGTTTTACATTACAACTTACGTAAGCGTGAAACGGTTTCACAGACCGATTTACCGGAACATTGCACGTGCGATTTCAAACGCGAATTACTGAGTGGGCAGTCGAGTGCCATTCCATAGCGGCCTACGCGATTTCGACCGACGCGAATCGAAAGTGCAAATCGAAGGGAAGGCTATACGAGATATACATGGACGATATCAACTTTACTCGATCGATAAGCCCAACTTCTATATATTTAAAAAAAGAAAAGGAAACAAACAAATCGTTTGGCTACCAAGGCTGCGGTCCATTTGATGCTACAAATGCTTCGAAGCGTTCTTTGTCTTCTTCTTTCTTCACTGAAAGAAAAAAAGGATGCTTCGAAGCATTTGTAGTGTTAAGTGGACCGCAGCCCAAGTGTATCGATAAATCGCTTGCGATAAATATATATATATATATATATACCTATTCCGACGAGGCGTAAAGGTGCCTATTCATGAGACGCTGAAAATGAGCGTCAACAAGGTGAACGTAGTGGTTTCGCTTTGACGCTAGCGTCAAAGAAATGAAGTTGAATTTGTTTAATATTCAGCGTCGTCGCTGAATCGTCGTTAATCGTCCCAGTACAATCAAACATAGACTTCGAAATACGTAAAATATTAATTATTTTCAAGTAATATCTTCAAGTAATAATATTTTATGGATACATATATAAATAAAAGATATTATTTCTGAAGATTTTTACTTGCTAAAAATGAGCGTCGAGCGTTAACGTGAAAAGGCACCTTAATATGTCTCACTCGCGAGTTAAACTCTAGAAAGATTTCATGTAATTGCGTATCGCCGGCGCCGCGAAGAATCGACTGGACGCGTATAGTTGTAAGATCTCCGGCGGGCGCGTTCTGCATACGCGATCGACCTATTAATTAGTTGTGCAACGGAGTCGACAACACTTCCAGCGCAGCGAGAAGCCGACGGAGCGTGTCGCAAATTGCGATCCGCGGAAGCCCGCGTTAGTACAAGAAGCCTTCTTCCGCGATTCGATCGGAAAAAGTAGAAGAGGCGATACGCGATATTAAAAGAGCGGCGCTCTAATCCTTGGCGCCGCTAATTCCGCGTTGTTTTCCTATGATAAAGATTCAATCGCCTTAACTTTGACGCGAAGAGGATCGACATCGAAATGGTATCGCGAGATCGAAAGTATACGCCGCGAATTCCGGGCGACGCGCGTTTTTCCTCTCCATCACTGTTCACCGCCCGTGACGATCACTCGATTAGCGTTCGGGAGTGAAATCTTGTCCTTGGCACTATTGTCCTTCGTCCCGCTGAGAGCGTGTATATGAAATAACCGCGGATTATTGCCGTCTCGCGCCTTAATTCGCGCGAACTTATGATATGTCTCGGCGCACGTGCTCCCGCACGCAAAACCGCAGGTAAAGCATTGCGTGTCCGAGAAACAGCATCCAATAAGTTCGAACCACAAGCTTAGAAAAAAAATATATATACGACAACGTTGCGAAACTTTCGTACAAGAAGCTTCATATTTCTAGCCGCTCTTCCACAGAGTTTCTCGCTTCCAAAAATTATATCATTTTTTAATTTAAACCATAAAAAATTTAGAAAAAAAATTTACGACGGTACGATGTTCCGAAACTTTCCTATGGAAAAACTTCATATTTCTATAGCTGCTTCTACAAAGATAATTTCTCGCTTTCAAAACTTTTCTACGAACCCTCATATTTCTAGCATGCTTTCACAAAGATAGTTTCTCGCCTTCAAAAATTCTATACAGGTAAAACTCTTGAATAACACGATTAATTAGTTCCATATCATTGAAAACCGTGCAATTCAAGACTCCACATAATAAATTGGGTACTGGATTTCGAGAAATTATTTAAAAAAAAAAAAAAAAAACTTTTAAAACATAACAAGTTCTACGGTAGCTATGCATCTACGTATGCGTATTTCTTTCATTGAGTGACTCAAAATTCGTGCAACTCAAGTACCGTGTTATTATTCAAAGGTAGTCACAATTTTTTACCATGCTATTCGAGGCTCCGCGCAAGTCAAGTACCATATATTACTCGAGGGTTACCTGTAATTCTTTACGTAGCGTATATGCATATATATTCATTCCATTAGTTAGGTCAGAAGAACGCTTTTCGTGCGGACAATATAAATCAGGAGAAGTGGAATAATATTCTGAATACCGATTGCGCGGCACAATGTAGCGCGACTTATGAAGAGACCGACTTACGTAAATCGTGGTGACGGTCGCGTTTCTAACCATATCCCTGACGTCGTCCATCTCCCGTATGGACGTCGCTGGCGTGGGCGCCAGCATCACCTCACTCGCCATCCTTGCCTTTTCTCGACAATGTGCCTCTCCTCGTAAAACTTCTCCCGCGTCTCTCCGTACTTATATGCGTGCCTCAGGTTGAATCCGAATTGCAGGGATTCAATGCATCGCACCTCCTCAGATTTTTGCCGATGACAATTTTTCCGATCTATTCCTCATCGACGAATAGAGATTTGATCCGATGGTAAAAAAAAACGCACCGTGTAAACAGTACATACACTAGTCATTTCGACTCATCCACGGTCTCGCAATCCAGTATCATCTCGGGATTATCTCCTGACTGAATTTCGTCGTGACTCCGTATCATACAGTCTTGCAAGTTATTAATCTCCGCGGTGTCTCCTCTCGCGAAACTTCGGCATGCGCGGCATTCGCTTCCGGGAAAGCGTCCGACAGAGCCGCGGCGAATGAATTTAATTTCGGCGACCGACTTCGCGGAGCGACATTATTAGTAACATAATAATATTCAGCTCGTCGTCGTCGTCGACGCCCCGCTTTCCCCTTTTTCTCCGCTATTTCTCTATTTTCTAGTTAATAATTAACATTAACGCAGGACGCGAAGCAACGTTCGGCAACGGTCGCACGACAACTGCAGCTGCATCGGGAGAATGCATCGCTCCCTTCTTCCTGATAATTTTCTTGTGGCGCGAGTCCAACATCTGTCTTCGATCGACGATGGAATCCCCGACACCTTCGTGGGGGGGAAGCGGTCGTTTTGTTTTCACACACACAATCCCCTCGGTCCTTCGGAGCGTCATGAAGAAGTTATAGCGCCAATTGCAGCGAACGCTCTATGACTTGCACAATACCGCGGCTATAGGCTATAGATCCCGAGAATGGAGATAACGAAGCGAGAATCGCGATCGATACGCACTTCCGAGATGACGAATCACTCCGCGAATGTACACGCGCGATGTACACGATTGTTCGCGTGAGAAAGAAATCCTTGAGACACGCATATGCATTCCGGATCCGCCGAGTGCATTATAAACAGTTTGCGTTTTCCACGCGCAAAATTCTCGATTGCCGGCTATATTCGCACTTTCTTTCCCGTAAAATCTGTCTTTCCTCGTCAGCTCTTAAGAGTCTCCGCTAAAATACACTTTTGACGGCTCATATTGCCGCAAAAGCCAACTTTTCCTTCGCGAATAACTTAATTTTCTTCGTCGGTCGACGTCATCATCGATCACGACGGCACGCGTCCCGCCGGAGAACCAATTCGGACTGCGGCGCGTCGAACGTAACAGTCGATTCGGATATCCATTCATCAAGGAACACCGGGGAACAGCGCGCTGTCGGTTCCGAGCGCGAGGCCGCACTACGAGCGAATCGGCGGCGCGCGGCTTTGGGTTCCGTCGAGAGCGCAAGAGAGACTCTCGGCACTCGCACGAGTGAGTCAGCTGGCTGCGTTTCGTACTTACCCATCACGAACGCACGCCCACGCGAACGCACACGCACGCGGTAGCGAATCGAGCACATTGCGCATCGCTGGGTCCCTCGAGCCCAACGTGATTGACCCTCACCCTGCGAAAGCCGGGTCTCCCTTCTCGACCCGGGGGACAAAAGAACGACTAGTCCTTTTTCTCTCCCTTAAAATATAATTACGCTTCGGAATCCTCTTAAGTGAATACACCCTCGACATAATCACGTCCTTCTAATTTTAGAAATGTAATCCCGCTAATTTACACGGCGTTTTAAATGCTAAATCAAGCGTGTCGAGGAAGGATCATCTGTTAGAGATGTTCTAATTCTAGCTAAAGCTTGAGGAGGAATCTTTACATTGTTGAATATTCTTAATTCAAAGCAGCAAGACGAGTGCATTATTTCGCCGCATAATTACTTTCGCCCTGAAAATCGTGCTCTCGAAAAGACAATAAACACGATAATTATGAATGCTTCAGCGAAAGGCGCGCCGCGAATGTAGTGCGAGAGACTAAATACATCGCGTAACAGGCGCGCTCAAAATTGCACAGTTGCATCTCGAAACATCGCACAGAACAGTTTAATTAAACGAATAATTCTCTCGCGAGATGACGCGCGTCGATAAAAATAAGGTGGCGAAGTCTTCGCGACTTCTGTACAAATGAAACAATTTCATTCCATCTCACTCGCGTACTTGAGGGAGAGAAGGGCAAAACTTTGCGGAAACTTTCTCAAAAACGGGCATGCGAAGTTACCCAGTGACTGAGCGAGCGAGAGAATTGATCGTGGAAAGCGCCCGTGCGCGTTTCCTTTCGTAGAAAGCATCCGACAATGCGAAACAATGTACCGCTGTCGCACACAAAGCGAGCTGGGCTTATTTTCTCACGGTGTATATATTGGATTACTTGCTCTCTGGCGAAGGACGTTGCCGTTAAGCGTCGTAAAGGCAGAGACGTGTGACGCAGCGACAACCTATCTCATGCTCCCGGCGACGCCTCCGTCTTTTGCGAGGCCGGTTTATCCATGGCATCGGGGGGCACAACGTTGCCTGGGACTCTCGTAGGAGTGTTTAAAATAATAAAGAAGAGAAAACCTTCCGCGAACGATAAATTAACGAGCATTCAAGTGTCTTTAATAATTTAATACGACGTCGTGAATACGGTGCTGTGCTTGATCGCATGGGAACTCCCGCTTTCGACTCGCCACCCACATCGGCATTTCCCTATCTGCGCGATTTCGAAAACGGCTTCGAAGTTGTTGCCCAGGTGCGAGCAGCGCGTCACTTTCACCGATTACCTATAATGCTTTTTAAAGGCGCCCGTTCGAGCACGGAACAACGTGTTGTTATTATTACGTAAAATATACGATGTACCAGCGACATTGCGGTTTTAAACGTTTTTAAACATTGAAGTGAGAATAGAAATGCCAAATATACCTTCGCAACCGACAGATATTTCTAATGCAAAATTAGCTGTAAATATACAGCTGTAAATAACAGCAATGCATACGCATAGCTAAAAAGTTTTACGCGCAAAAGTAGAAGCTCTACTACGCACACGCTTTGTTCGCGGTATTAATCGTTTCCGAGTATGTGTCATGGTCGTTGTAATTACTCTAAAAGGAGCCGTCAAGGCACGTAGCGAGGCCTCGGTCTTTCTCCGTCGTCCGTAATGTGAATGCAGGTGTCTCGGGCTAAATTGTCGTGACTGAATGCGATCTGGATCGGTCGACTGATCGATATTTCAAGATCAGTAGCGCACCGGGTGCTTATACACGTGCATCGGCATCTCAATAATCGTTTTAATCCGACGCTACCAAGGTGAAAATATATGTAGCATGATTACTAAGGTGAGATTTATTAAACCTCAATTAATTTGAAATTTTTAATTGTAATGTAATAAAATTTTTCAAATATTTTAAATTAAGACAGGTTGTATCTTTGACCAAACTGACATTTAGTTAATTGAGTATTAAATGTCAGTTTGGTCAAAGATACAACAAAATCATTTTTAAACGGGATTAGCGCATATCATTTTCCATTAGGTTCTTTTCTCATTACATTAAATAGGTATTATTTTTTTCAGTAATTGTCTCTTTCTGAAAGACAAGATCTTTATAATTTCACTATTAAATGAACAGAGGGAGAAAGAGACGAAATAGATTGCTGTACGTTCGTTAAACGTTCGTTTCACTTTCAACCAAATGATTGAATTCGCATCGGCTTGCAGAAATGTGGAGATAATTTTTACAACGGTAATTGGACGCGATATGCAAAACCTAAGGATAGTTCGTATTTTTCGTGAATGTTTTCAGTGGACGTAGAAATCGGAACGTGTATAATGCGCGAGAAACCACAGCGGCTAATTGCACGGCTCCGCGCGCACACGCGCGTGTTGCAGCGCGTGTCTTGATGCACGTTTGATAATTGCACCGCCTATTACGGTGAGGAATGCGGGAGCTCGTCCGCTCTTGCGCTAGAAAAGCAGGAGGAGGAGAAGTCCTCAGCGACACGCCTTAAATTAGGCGTATTAGTTTCCAGTACATTAATCGACGGAAACGATCGAGACGGGATCGCACTCGAGAGCAAGCACGCGCGGCGATAAGATCGGCTCTTCTCCTATCACCGCCGGCAACGCGGAGTAAAAACGCGCCGCTGCCGATGCGTTTACTTTCAGAACGATCGCGAAGCTTCCCTCGGATCGTGACGGATCGACACAGCTTACAGAAATACAAAAAATAAATAAGGAATTGCGATAAATACGATCGTTCGCCACGCAACAGGAACGACCTTGCTTTCCAGAAACGAGAGAAGGAAACCAGTTTACGCGTTATGCGTTACTCCAGTAAATTTCTCTTCATGCCGATCCCTCAGAGTAGCTAGATTGCTATTCTAGTGTGCAATATTTTATATAACATTCATGGAAATTATGCTTTGTATAATATTTATATATCCCTCAGAGTAGCTAGATTGCTATTCTAGTGTGCAATATTTTATACAACATTTATGGAAATTATGCTTTGTATAATATTTATGGAATCTGCTTGATAAATCTATATCCGGTATATTTGCAAATGTATAGTTTATAGGTACTTTACTTCCACAGCGGCTTTTTTACAATGCTGTCGGCAATACAATTTTGTCTGGAAGCTAGACCGACTAAAATGACTTAAATGATACTCGTTGAACGTGTGCCAAGCGTGATCGTCGATAACGAGGCCGCTTGAGCATGGCCAGATATCGATTGTTCATCGGTGCGGATTGCGCGGGCCGTCTGCCAGAATTAACGGAACAAAAAGAACGTTAAATCTTGTGACGGTGAGAAATTAGCTAAGCGACTAGCGCAACAGCGTGCAAAGAAAGCGCGAATTTGATATCCCGCGTGATGTTGATCGAAGAATTTTAAACATAAAATAAAAGTAAATAACAGATGATATGTTAAAATATAATTTCTCCGCATAATAGTACTGTATTTTCAAAGTGATAAGAGAATAAAGAAATCTTTTGTATAATGTATAAAGATATGAATATGTTTGAAAAATAAAAAAAGGCCTAGACTCTCTTATAAATAAAAAGTTCAATTGCACCATGCAGACTTACAATTAAACAGGCTTAGAAATAAAGCTCTTTCGGGTCAATAAACGAAGCCGTATTACCGAGCGATCGATACGAAATTCCCTGAAAACCGAAGCTATTCACATAAAAATCTCCGTCGGCGAATTTATACGAGAGCCCAAGAGTGGCTCTCTCGAGACGCACGATCTCGCTCGGAATTAACGGGGCAATTAAAGAGATAATTAGAGTGTTGGGTCGCATGATTCGTCGAAGACGCCGCGGCGTCCGCGTGCGCAGGTGAAACGCCGGCAAGTTTTATCGCGCAGTAAATAACATTGCGGCGCAGGAAACGAACGCCATACTCGTCACACAGCTCGAGAATAGCTTTACTGCCGGGCACGGTCCATCCTGCAAATACCACACGTGACGAACGTCTTCGGACACACGGCTACGAGGAGGAACGCGAGTGTCCCGCGTCCCGCGATGAAAATAATCTTTATCACGAGCCCTATAATAAATTCATCAAAAAATCCATTTGCTGCACTTGAAGACGTCCCTTCTCGCGCAGTCTCGATATCCGACGTATGCTCCGTTTATGTTCCATTTTATGATGTACTATATTATAGTATTATAGTATTGTCATTTTTCATCATATTATATTCCTAACAATAAGTATTGTTATAATTATATATAATTATTGTTATTATTAGAGTATCTTATCATATTATATTCCTAAGTATAATAATTATTATTATAGTACTATAGTATTTTATTATTGTATTATATTCCTATCATCTGTGTTTTATACGCCTCATGTTTCATCCAGAATTAGTCGCGCAGGTAATTCTTTTCAGAGAATCCCTCTCCAAGGTTCACAAGGCCCAACGAGCCTTTTCAGGCTTCTATTATAATTACAACCCTACGTTCTTCGGGGGTCCATTCTGATTTCGGCGATCCCCGGAAGGGAAAAGAGGCAGAGGGACCTACCTGGCGAGACTCGTAGGCGTCGGAGAAGTGTTCGGAATCGCCTCCGCTGGACTGCTGGTCGGCCGACGCCGCCGCCGCGGCACCAGTTGCGGCAGCAGGCCTGCGTCGATCGTCTGCACTCGCGCCGCGATCCATCGCCGCGTCGTAGAACACATGGACGGCGCTCGTACCGTCGGCGGGCGCGTCGTCGTCGGCGACGCCGTTGCACGCGCGCTTCGGTTGCTGTTGCTGCTCGTCCTCCTTTGCCGTCGTCGTCGTCGTCGGCAGCGGCGACGCGGCTTCTTCCTGCACCCCCGCGGTCTTGCTGCTGCCCTTAACGAAGAGCCGCGAGATCGTGTTCCACATTCAACGGGATGATGACGATCGCGTCGGGATCCGTGGCTTCAATCAACGAACCTCGATCAGCGCGACTCCCCGCCGTCCTCCTCGTCATAGCCGATGCGACTCTGCGAGGGCGACCGAACTCGCTGCCCAGGTATTCTCCTTTCAGCAGTTTTTCTTTTCTTTCTCTCTCTTGCGACGAAAGTCCCCGCGATCTTTTCTCACACACTGGCGTAACTTCACCGATCTCGTTGATCCTTAATCCGGCGTCAAGCGTCCACGTCTCGCTCTTTCCTCGGCTTATTCCTCGATTTCGCACACACAGGCACGTGACGCACTACGCACAGCCGCGTGGCGTGAACTCTTTCGTCGACGAGACGACGCGGGATCGATCAAAATCTGCAACGATAAACGAGCCACGGGAATGAGAGAGAGTGAGTGAGTGAGGAATGCGAGAAGCTTGTGTTTCGCGGAGAATTTTGTTTTCCCACGCAACATGCACACGCCGGTGTTCTTCTAATCGCAATATTAGCCCACACGAAACGAGAGAATACCGGCTTTACGGATTTCCGGCAAGCCCTTGGTTCACAGCATCGGTCCTGTTGGGACTGTTAGCCAATAAGCTCTTCCCCTCTCCTTCCCCATCTTTTTGGTCTCTCGCTGCCGTCGTAAAAGAATTATAACTAGTGATGGAATTCGGTATCTTGCAAGTAGGTTCGAGAATCTGTGGTTTCGAACTCTCTATGAATACCAAAAAAACAAGAGTTACTTACAAAATAAACTCGAATCTGGATGAAATATATTCGAACCTTTTATGAGTACTTTAGAAATGTATATATTACGTATATCTCTTCATTATCTTACAATTTTACATGATACTTATAATTACAATGACACAATGTACTCGAATACTTGTAAGATTCGATTATTTAGAAGCTACTTATAAGCACCTCTGAATAAAGCACCCATTCTAAAATTCGAAACTAACTGGTAATCGGCTACTTTGCAAATACAACGTATAAAATATTATTTCTTAGTCGAATCCAAGAAACTGAAACTTGATTACTGGATTTAACTTGGATTTTTAAGTATTGAACTTGATCTCATTCCTAATTATACGTTTTTTCTCAGCTGCTGTACAGAATAACGCATTTAGTTTTGAGGAATGACATGTTGCGACCATGAGCGATGCACATGGCACACAAATAAAAATTCTGCATGCATCACCGGTGTGATGCACATGGCAGCGAGGGTGTTAAAAAGCAACTGGGTGCAAATTAAAAGACAAAGGATGAGTTTGGACATTTTTGTCGATGACGAAATAACAATGCGACTTCCAGGAAATTTTCGAGCTGGAGCTAAACATAATTATAACTGAATTAATTATAGAATAAATGGAATTGATATTTGTTTGAGAATATAAGGACGACGACGTAATATAAGTAGCATGAATTTTAGAAGCTACTTATACCTCTGAATAAAGCACTCATTCTAAAATTCGAAACTAACTGATAATCGGCTACTTTGCAAATACAACGTATAAAATATTATTTCTTAGTCGAATCCAAGAAACTGAAACTTGATTACTGGATTTAACTTGGATTTTTGAGTATTGAACTTGATCTCATTCCTAATTATACGTTTTTCTCAGCTGCTGTACAGAATAACGCGTTTAGTTGTAAGGAATGACACGTTGAGACTTGAGACCATGAGCGATGCACATGGCACACAAATAAAAATTCTGCATGCATCACCGGTGTGATGACTCACTAATAACTTAGCATAAAAAATTATAATTTTGGCGTATGTCTATCGTGGTCGAATTGGACATTTTTTTGTTTTCTGTGTAATCGAGAAGCTTAATTATGGTAAAAGCAAACGCTTATATCGAAGTGTGTTATCATTGCTATGCTTCCCACGAAGCTTATTAAAGTTTAATCACGATAATTAGTGCTGACCCTACTGATTAATTTTCCTTCTCTATTTAATTACTCAATTTATGTACCTCATAAATAGTATTAATATTTTAAATGGATATTCAAAATTGCGTTGAATTTTGCAAATCAACTCATCTATCAAAAGCTCAATTGCTATCAATAAACCTAAATTCCTCCAAATCCCGTGGAAAATAACATATCTCGAATAACACAATTAATTCGTTCCGCGTTATTTATAAAAACCGTGCAATTCAATACTCCAGATCCGTATAAAGTGGAAGGCATTTGATTCCGAGGGATTATTATCACAAACATTATATTATTTATCAAACTTTTAAAAAATAACAATTTTATTTAAAAACCAATCGTATAAAAGAGGGCATAAAGTCGAATGTTATTAAATATTTTGTATTTGCATTTCTCTCATTGAGTGACCATGCTACTCCAACTACACGCAACTCAAGTACTCAAGTACATCGGTACACGTCAAGTACTCAAGAGTTGTCACAAATTTTTACCGTGCAATTCAACCGTCATACAAATTCGTCGTGTTATTCGAGGGGCACCTGCGTTTCTACTTTTCATCGAGATCAAGTACAATACGAGTGTACATCTTGAAACTTGGTGCAAACTGGATAACCTCAAAATTGAGAGGAAATCCAAGCTACCGACGTACACAGGCCAATCAAAAATACCTAGGATACGTGATCGAGTTTCTCTAAAGTCCCGGTGACCGATGCTGCGAACGCGCGCTTGCCCGAGATCGCGATCCCGTCGCGGACGACGGGCACGGGAGTCCGTCCGTTCCGGCGATCCCCGCCGACGATGTTACCGGCGACGCGAAACGTCCTCGATCGAACGTGGTGGCCTCCCGTCTCCCCCTCCGCACGTTTCCCTCCCCCCCCCTTCGCGCATCCGTTCCGCGACTTGACAACGTGAAATAATGCCGGGCGAAACGCGGCCAAAGGACACCGTCGCGCGAGAGAAAGGGAGAGACGGAGAGAGAGAGAACGAGAGAGAGGACTCGTTCGCTATTTTCGTCGGGAACGGCGAGCCTCTCCTCCCTCCCCCTCGCGCGCTCTTTCTCGAAAGAGCCTCGACACCGCGAGGCCGCGTATCGATCGAGGAACAACCGGGCGACGACGCGAGCGAGAGGAAGCGGCACGGTCGAAATGCCGTCGATCGGCCGTCATCGTCGTCGCACGGCTGATTCACGCAGCATTCGCGCACGCACACACACCCACACACACACACACGTACGTACAATACGCGCACACATGCGCGCGGGACGATCTCTCGCGTCTATACGCGTGTCCTACGCGTCGGAGGTCGCGCGCGCGCGAATAAAGGGGATCAAGGTGGGAATCCGAGGGGGACACGTGAACGGACACGCGAGATCCTTAATAATCCCGTCGCACTCCGAGGAGGCGACGTACCTCTTTCCTCCCGCCGCTGTTCCTCTCTCGAGATTGGCTCGGCCCTTGGAGTCCCTCTTTCTCTCTCTCTCACTCTCGCTCGCTCGAGACCCTACCGAGGTCTCGCGACCGAGCGGCGAGCTCCCGAGGGTATATATCCGGCCGCCCGCGTTCGTTGACAGCCAGCTTCAGGTCCCGGCGGGCGAGCGAGATCGCACGCACGGAAGACGCGAGGTGTCCGCGAGGACTCGACGCATCGCCGAGAAGAGGTGTGCGCGCGCGCACGCGAGGGCACACGGGATCCTCGATTCCGCGAGTCCTCCCCCCCGTTAGATTGTCCCGCACTCGCGGCTCGGACCCCCCTCAGAAATTCGTTGATCCGTCCGATCGACCGAGCGAACGTCGCGCGGAGCCGGGAGCGATCGCGGCCGACTTCGCTCCGCTCCGCTTCGCCGTCCAAAAGTCCGTGTCGCGAGGTCGGGCGAGGAGGCGCGACCGACGGGATCCGCGAAGCTGCGCTTCCGCGTACACCACACACACCACGCGCGCACACACGGCACACGGCCACCTCTCTCTCCCTCTCAGCGCGGAGATTCGCCCGTTCGCAGGCAGCAGCAATACGCCGCACGCAGCACTCCGCCGTCCATCGCGATACGCGTGCGATATACCGCGAGATGGTCGTTGTTGCTCGCGCGCGCGAGAGACCGACCGACCGATCGAGACCGTCGAGACGGCCGTCTCGATTGGTCGACGCGGCCAACGCGGCGCTCTCCGCGATCCATCGAATCGACTCGCGCGACGCGCATGCGCGGCTGCCTGATTCGCGACGGTGGAACCGCGCGGCTTTCGGACTGAAACGCGACTTAAAATCGGCAGTTTCTCGCCCCGAGATCTTTTTATTTATTTATTTATTCGAGATTTGTAAAACGGGATTTAAAAAGATCTCTTTATGTGCCGCCCCTAGGTGAGCTGAATGTGGAGACGCAGTTCGTATCTGCTGACGGCTGATCGAATATGTTTTTGCTTAACATCAACGAAAGACACAGAATAAAATGCTTAAGGGGATGCTAAAGCTGTCTGTAATACCTACACTCGTTTTTAACAATATTTGCTTCGTATAAAAATTCTACAACTTGATGTTACAAAATGAGGGTGCAGGTCCATTTAGTAGACATCAAGGAATATCATACCGTTTGTAGAATTAGGAATGAACGTACCTACATTACGTTTACGTAATCGTACTTTTCGTTTTAACTTTTTTGTTTGAAGTCTCAGCCTAATTCTACAAACGGTATGATATTCCTTGATGTCTACTGAATGGACCTGCACCCTCATTTTGTAACATCAAGCTGTAGAATTTTTATACGAAGCAAATATTGTTAAAAACGAGTGTAGGTATTACAGGCAGCTCTAGGATCACCTTAAATAAAAATATGAGAATAACAATTTTACAAGTTTGAAGAGAAGATAAGATTTAATCCCGTGATCAGACTGCGGATTGGGATTGGGATTGGATTGAAATTTGAACCAATTAGAGCAAAGTTCACTAAACTTGAAGTTGTTAGAGTTTTCTTCATTCCGATTGATTAAATTTCAATCCAATTTCAATTCCAATCAGTAGTTAAGATAATGAACTTTTTCATTACTCAACTTTGTACAATATATCCATAGAAATTCAAATATCTCTTTATCTATATTATATTCACATAAATTGTATCTTTTTCTGATAACTTTCCGTGAATCGCGAGAATCCGTAAAATCGGCCAACTTCAACTGATTAAATTATCGATTCGCGTGCCAATAAATAATTCGATTTTCGACGACAAAAGACTACACGCGAATTCCGCGTCTAAAATTTCCCTTCGCTTCCTCTTCCTTCGAAAACTCGATGTTCGATGTTCGAAGGAACGCAATATTCATCGGGTATTTTCAGCGTGTCAGGAACAGCCAGGGTCAGGGAATATCCTCGGCGGGTCGCCGCGGGAAAATCACGAGAGCGCGAGAGATCGCGCGCCGCGCGCGGAGCAGGCGGGGTGCGCGGGGCGGACGACGCGAGGTATCGCCGATAAAGCGGCGCGCCGTGCATCATCAATATGGCGGCGAATCTCGAGGAGGAGCAGAGCTTACGCGAGTGCGAGGAATACGTGCAGAGACACAATATCCAACAGGTCCTGAAAGACTGTATAGTGCAACTGTGCGTGGGCCGGCCCGAGAACCCGATCTCCTTCCTGCGGGAGTACTTCCAGAAGCTGGAAAGGGTACGTAAAACCTCGCTGTCGTGCCGCGATTAACCTGACCACGGGAGAGGAAGAGAGAGAGAGAGAGAGTGAGAGAAAGAGAGAGAGAGACGGATATACGCCGCGAATTTTCACGTTCACGACTTTCCTCGGGAAAACCGACGTCGCGAGGTTATCTTCGACGAGGGGCCGAGGTTTTCCGCGACATAACCTCACTCGTGTCGGGGTGCGACGACGAGACGTGACACACGTGATCAGGGACGATCCTGGTTCTCGAAGTGTCTTCCCCACTTTCTCGAACTACATTTTTTTAAATTTTTCTCAGATTCTCGTGAGCTTTACCGATATTGCGGGTTCATCGTGCGAAGGACGTTACTCTCGAAAGCAGTCCTCCTCGCTCGCAGTTCCCTGCAGCGTGTGCGAGAAGCTGCTGCGTTTGTGTATCAAGGTTTCTCTGGTTTCTCGCTCATTGCCCGATGATTGCGCAGCGAACGCAGGAATTAATTGCGATTAAGAGATTGATTTACGCTCGGAGGAAGCGTCGTTATCGGAGCTTTACCGCTTTGCTAGGTAAACATTGTAATCGGAGCGTTTTCCTCCGTCGGGGAGACGCGTCGCATTATCTCGACGAGTCGTAGATAATTATCGCGACTCGTCGACAACGTTCAGGGTCCAGGGTCCTCTTTAACAGCGTTTTGCAACGCGCGAAGAAACGTTTTCGTGAGAAATATTTGGCTTGTCATTTCACGAGATTGATGATGCGTCGAGATGGTTTGATGATCAACGACAGCATCGTCGTGGGATACGCGCGCGACAGATGCTGTCATCTGCAGCAGTTGGCTTCAACTCGTACGGTCGTCACGGCAGGTGCCCGGCGTGCCGACGTGGATGATAAATTTAAGTTTATATATATCGCAATGGACTCTCCGCTCCTCCAAGATATTTTTCTAAACGGAGCTTCGGAGGCAAGAAAATGGCCTTAAATTAATAATGAAACGAAATTCGCACGAGAAAGACGGAATATGTACGAAATACGTAACATCTTCATCGCGAAGGAGCAAAGTGAGTATCGCCCTGAAGAAAGATTTCCGTTTAATTAACGCGATTATTTTTCCCAAGGTATATTCTTCCAGGTTCATCCTTGCGATTAGATAAGTGGATTTGCTAAAGGCCGGACGTCTTCTCGTAAACGAGATTACGTCGATCAGCGTAGCTGATTTATCGGCGAGCCGTATCCTCGCTCCGGCGTGATCCTTGACGCGGTTCCTTCCCGCAGGGCCCTCCCTCCCGAGACCTTTCGCCGCCGTTACCTTTCCCATTTAACGCTAGCGACGGGAGTAATTACGTTAAGCGGCCACCCACGCAGCAAGCGGGGAACGCGACGCGTGTCGCTCGGAAGCGGAAATCGAAGGCTCGCGCGGAGCGAGCGCAAGATCGACGGCCGTCTAATGCCCGGTTTCTTCACTGTTGGATAACTTTATCCTTAGGTTAAAGAGTTCTAAGAGAAATCTAAGAGTTAGGTTAGAAAGAGATGAAGAGTGAGTTTATCCTAAGGATAAAGTTATCCGACGGTGAAGAAACCGGGCATAAAATAAGAAGATGCCGCGCGAACAGCTCACGCGGAATCGTCCCCGTCGAGGAGCAGCGGCCACGGGGGCGAGTGCACGAGGAATCAAAGGATTTTTCTTTTGGCCCGTTGGATTGACCGAGCATGGCCGCGACATTTCGCGTTTCCCTCAGCGATATAGTAGTATGTTTACCAAGCCGCGCGTAGGCCGAAGGCCGCTATACCGAAGCGGGAAGCGAAATACGGCGACGAGGTATTTCGCCGCTGCGAGGAGAATCGATATGAGTAAAGGGAGTTTCGTCAAGGTGACGTTTAATTCCCTTCCGCGGTGATCTCGTCGATATCTTAAATATATTTTTCGCGGGCGTTCGTTCTCTCTTTCTCTCTCTTTCGTTTCGTTTCGAGTTCCTTGGGACATTTTCGATTACACTCATTCTTCGATTTACGCTGTAAATAATCTCTCTCCCTCTTTATTTACACAATACTTTTATACGCAGTCAGAAAATATATCTTTCTTTGGTATTTATTGAAATTATTATATATCGATCAGTGAGTCGAAAAGTTTTTACTGGATTGTATTCATATTATATTACATCCAACTGTTTTTTTACACATTAGATACGTTCCGCGGAAGAAGAAATCGCGTTGCTGGAAAAAAATCGCGCAAAAAAAACGTGTAAAAAGAGAGTTGGGTGTATTTTAATCTTTTTTGGTTGAATTGTGTGTGCGAGCTTATCTACACAAGTGATAACAAATTTACTTTTCTTCACTTCGTGCAAGTAGAGCGAAATAAATGTGAAATAAATATTTTTACAACATATTTTCTCTTACAAATTTTTTGTACTGACTTCATTTACGCAATTCTCAACCGCGTAGAACAAATACTCCGCATAAATCGAGGGAAACGAGTGTATATCTGTATATCTCTTACAACGAGGAAAACGATTCATTAATTTGCTTTTAAAAAATTACAAGCATCGTAGATCTCTTTTTTTCAGTAAACTCAAATGTCAGCAGAAATACAATCAAATTTGTTACATGATGAATGAATGATGGCAAATTGATTGCAAAAACCGAGCGGAATCTGTCATTTCGTAACCATTTAAATGATACATCCTCTTTAAATCGTCGCAAAACGACGGGTTCTATTTCTGCCGGCAATCCGCTGCAGGTTCCATCGTGCACTGTCAAAAATCGGTAGGCAAAATACAAGTTGGACGCGGAGGCAGCTGATACCGATCTGCCGCAATATTCCGCCAACAAACTGCTAGCGTACTGTTAACATTTTGCCTAAACGGGGTTGCTCCGTCTTTCTCGAACAGCCGCCTGGGAATGATCGTTTCCGTTCCCACAGTGCCCCGACGTGATCTAGGAACACGCGAGGGTGTCTTCGATCGAACGTCTCCGTGTCGCGCGCGTCAGTCAACGTGACGGTGCAGCGACACAACGCGCTGACGGTGCCGTCGAGCGGAAGGCGAAGACGCGCGGCGCGGGACGGCGGATCATCGCCTCGCGTGCATGTTTGCCTTCCGTGCTTGTGCCGGCGTATACACGGCAAAAAGTGCTAGAGTATATACGTACGAGAGAAAAAGAGAGAGGGAGAGAGAAGACTGCACATGCATACGTTGGAGAAGAAAGGAGCACGAAATCTATTTCTCGGAAGAATAGAAATCCCCCGGGAATAGAAATCCCTCGGGATCGGTAAGAGATACGACGCCTGCGGGAGGAAATAATAATCGCGAGGAAGCGGGAAAACTCATCGGGGGAAAATAGAGGGCTGAAATACGCAAACACATAGGAGAAGCACGGGAGCGAAAGTTACGACGCGAGGACACAAGGAGACTGGAATAAAGGGCGCAAACAACCAACGCCGTAAAGTGTCTTCGCGATTAAACCGCGAGGAGTCCAGCGGGAGCAATTAAACGGAGGATTGGATGGAGAATCGGAATTTGCCGTCGCTCTGCAAAAGTTTATTTTTTCACGACCACTAATGCGAGTTCTCGAGAGCCGGTGCGGGGCAGAGGTAGACCTCTTAGGCCCAGTTTCACAAGTGTTAACCGGACGTTTGTGGAACTGGACCTTAGATAGCTTAGAAAATTAATTGAGGTAACGGTGCACACCCTTCTGTAAGAGTTTTTACCTTAAATAACCGCACGAATTTTTTGCTCAGGTTTGCGTGGTCGTAAAGCACCCTCTATAGTACTCCGGCCGCACAGGAAGGGCGTAATAAGAGAAAGCGGAAAGAAAAAGAAGGAGAACGACACCGAGGGGAGGGATGAGAGGGCTTGCAATTGTGTACGCGTACATATATATGTGTTTATGTGTGCGTATGTGTGTGTATGTGCGATGCGCGCAAAAGGAGAGAGAAAGAGAGCGCGATATAGGGGCAGCTGATCTAAACATAGAGCACGCTCGAAATATAACGAGGCGCAACCTTACAGCCAAGGTGGAGAGAAGTAAAGAGAGAGAAAGAAAGAGCGCAGTTAAAAGCAGTCCACAAAAATGTGGAATGCCGCCACCGAGGGAATCCAGCCGCCGCGCCGACGGGATTGTCCTCTTCCTGTGCGTCACGGCGCCGATCTTCCTCCGACGTCATCGCCAGGAACGGCGGTGGCGTCGCGGCGCCTGAATTTATGACGATAAAATATTCAGAAGTGTCTCCGTTTGACGATGATATACCGTCGGGGGCTTGCGAAATATCGCGTGAAAAATCTCAGGGACCAAGAGATGCAAATTGACGTATCGACGAAAGTGAAGCCGGGAAGTAAGAGGCGTGAGAACGACTTTGATTTTAGCACTCGGTAACGTAACACGAAATAACGTATATTAAGGATATATGAAAATAGAAGAAGGGGGAAGATGGAAAGGAGAGATGAGAAAAATAATCGTTATAAACAAAATCAACGCGCGCTCTTTATTTCAACTCGATTACAGAACTAATGTCTCTAATCTGTGGCTCTTTAACTTCAGCTCCAGCTCTGGCCGCTGATAAAAACTTGTACGTAGCGGGATGGCGAAGTGGTGCGGGAAGTAACGGTGTCACTGAAACATGTTTCCCACACACAAGTCTGCGTGTTACGGCTCTCCCGCAGTTTTACGAGCCGAGGTCTTGAAAAATGCCGTCATCATCGCCGCCGCCTTCGCCGCCTCCGCCACCATCGCCGCCTCTGCCACCACCGCCGTCGCCGCCGCCGCGGATCGATCCACCGTAGCCGCTTACGTTCGCGCGTTAACGCGAGCGGAAGACCTTACTTACCGACCACCACGAGACAGCATCTCGGCGGCACATCCATCCCGTCCAGGAATCGTCGGGCGGGCGCCGAGTCCGGCGGCAAGCGAGCGTGCAAACGTGCACCAGCAGCAGCAGCAGTAACAGCAGTACGCGTACCGACGCTGTCGCGCCGACAAACGTAGGGACGCGCGCGCGTGCTAGATCGCCTCCGACCTCTAATTGGATTCCGTCCGAGGCCTTATAAAATCGCGAAGCGGGCGAGAGAAGAAGGAGAAAGAGGAGGAGGCGGACGACGGCGACTACGACGAGGAGAGATCGCGCGTGTGACGACGACGACGGCGGTGGCGACGGCGGTCGGAGACGATCTCCTTTCTCCCGTGCGTTCGCGACAACTCGCGAGATCGCCGACCTACGACACGCGCTGCCGCGAAAAGCGGCCGTTTCATAAGTGTTAAACCGCATCAGCGGAAAGCAGAAGAACACGGGGGCAGACGGAGAGAAGGAGAGCGAAGAAACAGGAGGAGGATCGAGAGGAATGATGAATAAGGTACGAGAAAGAAAGAGAGAGAGGAAGAATGCCGGCCATAATCGTCCAACTTACGCGCGCGTGATGATTGATCTCGAGCCATGGATCAATGTTGATCGTCGATGGAGTTTTGCGTTTCAATATTACGCGTTTCCTTTTGCTCTTTGCGTCTCGGAAGAAGTTAACGATCTTTATCTACGAATTCATAATTTAGTGAAGCGGAAAAGGAAGATTTTCTCATGTGAAAATCGGAAGATTTCCAAGTTCTAAGAAGTCAATCAATCATGTAATTGTCGGTGAACTGTATTTTAGTTTTTCATCTATCGTTTTTTATGTAGATTTGACTGACAATGTGTTATTATTTCACAAAAAGTATCGAGTGATTACTCAGCAAATAAAAGTGATTTATTGAATTTATATCTGTATGAAAAAAATTATATGATTGACCGTGCAATTATTGTCAAAGAAAGACGTGACATTAAAAGTTATAGGTGTAAACAGTGAATATGTCAAAGAAGACTCTTTTTTTATTTGAAAAAATATTACGACAGGTATTCTTTTACATCTTCTCGCATACGGTGCGGCAGATTCTCGTAAATGGCAATGTAGTCTTTTACTATGCCGCTCGCGTTCGCATGAGAAGGGTTCTTCAACGAAAAGTAATTTTCTAAGAGTATGACATTTACAGTCTTTTTACGTCGTCTTCAAATAGAAGGAGAGAGAAAAAAAACAGGGCGCTTTTAAGAGGAAAGATCAATGTGAGAAATGCTCGTTAATCAGTCGCGTATCTGATTAACGATTCTTACGGTCCAGTTATCTCGGAATGACTAATACAAACTGTACAAATTACATTTTTCATATTTTAAACTGAATTTCCAAGAATTTGTTTTCTCACATATATTTGTTAATTTATTTTCTCGGTATTCCGAGTACGTTTTTTATTTTTTTAGGATATATTTTCTAGGCATCCTTGAAGTATTTTCACTCGCGCACTCCGCGAAAAAGATGTAAGCTTGAAAAACACTTGCGCCGAGATGACGAGAGTAAGATTCTCATGTGTCGGGAGTGTGCTCAAGGATGCGCGAACGTGTGCTGTGCATGTGGGAATGTATGCGTGTAGCGCGCTTACGGAGCCGCGGAGTGCCGATGACTATGTACACGTACACGTATATGTCATCATTGACTGGAGATTGTATAAGAGAGCGTACGTCTGTTCGTTGATTCCGATGACTTTGAGCGGAATCTAATACCGGTGCGTTATATATATAAGTTGCGCACATAGTTATACATAGTTGTACACATAGTTTACCCAGTTATTCATGCTCGCATGCGTCTCTCACTCCGATTATCGAACTGCATAATTTCTCCTTCGTTCCGAAGCTCATTTTTAGACAATCGATAATTCGTCAAACGGGACAAAAATTTCACGCCACAAATTTTACGAGCCGAGGTGTAACGCACAAAACGGAATTGCGGAATCGGAATTGTATCCACGGAATTAGAACGCGTTCTATTTTTGCGGGCCGAAAACGAGCGCGAGCGCGCGCGCGCGCGCGCCAGGTATGCGTAGTAAACTGACAGATTTAATAAATGCGTGCCGCGATTCGAAGCCTCAGTTACGTATGTTGTTTGTGATAGCAGTGACATAATGCGTATTTATTATATTACTGCGCGCAGATGCGGTCTGCGGTAATAATGAGCCACGCGATGGTCTCGAAGATAAGAAGACGGAATAAGACAATTTAATTACAAATCACGCGCAATCGTAATCTAAATTTATAAGTAACGTATAAGTAACATATAATGTTTCCGCTTAATTCATAATTTATATATTGACAATTCGGCCGCATTGAATTGTAAGATCCCGTTTATATCGCCGATTTGGATCGTCCGTAAAACGAGCTCTTAAACGTAAACAGATAAAAAACGAACGGCGGCGCTTCTGAAAGATACGATTTCATCTGGCGTATCTGTTGGATAATTCCGATAAATGGAGAGTTCCGCTCTTCTATTTTTAATGCACAACAGAGGCGCATGTCGGACGCCTAGACGCGTCTTTGCGGAGACGAGCGACGTGGATTTATCGGATCAAGTTTTATGGACTCATTAGCGGAGCCGCGCTAACGTCGGACGATCGTTGGTGAATCGCGATCGAGCCCCCTTCGATACTTAATTGCCATTCATGACACCGGTGGTGTCATTGAATAATTTATCTTGAAATTGGAAACTTGAATTTCTTTCCCATTAAAAGCGCCAACGTCTGAATTAGCGTTTTAACGAAGATCCTCTTGCAGAACAAATTAATTGCAAGAAGTCGAAGTAGGATCTCGCTCTGAATCTCTAAAATCTTCCTGCATTTTCTTTCTCAGAGCGCCGGCGTCACTTCCGCGTTTCTCACGAATAATTGGCTATAACAGATATGTTTCATTGTATCTTAATTTTTGCCAGAGAAACTTTAATTGCGCATAATTGCGATTTGACGAAGAGATATTTCCTTTTTTAAATTTAATTATATGCCACCGTATGTGTGATGCATAAATGTCGCGCTCGGAACCCGTTCCCCGGCTCGTAAGACCCCGAAATAGACGCACGATCGCGATGGCTCCTCGTATGCGAGTAACGTTAGCGTGCGCCGGCATATTATCATGGCAATTAAAGGAGGAGAATTGCGAATTGCGCTGATTTGAATATACTCGTTAGCGCGATGCACCACGCCGACGAGGAGGTGCTCGCCACGAAGAGAGACGGCGCGTTCGTGCGTGAAAACGCCAACTGACCTATGGCATTATTCGCTTGCCTCTCTCTCTCACCCCGACGGTGTGCATCGTGTACATAAGCGACGGTAATACGAGGTTTTATCTAAAGACCTACATAATTTATAATTTAACGGTAATTATATGCGTGATAGACGCCGCGGGCGAGACGGAGAGCCCTGCCGCGAGGGTCGCGCGTGGTTAATGAATTATTAATTTGCGTTCCGCCCTATTTTTTTTAAGCAATTTTTGTGTGCTCGTCCGAAACCCGAATGCACATCAACACATGATGACCTTAACGCATCGCTCTATTTTTCGTGACGGGGACAGACATCGATAATTAGTCGCAAAAAATTAATTAAAAAGGAGAACACTTGTATTTCAGCGTGAAGAATTTTTAAAGGTAGCGAACGTGTTAATTTGTTGTGCATTCTGCACTGCCAAGATAGCTTTCTATATTATTTATCAAGCCAATCGATAACCGATTCTCGTAAGAATATGTTATGTCGTTTTTTCCTTCCGTATTAATTGACTGTATTAATTATGACCGAGGAGTTTCCCTTTTCATCGTTGATCCGTCTGGACTGAAAAACCGATTCAATTAATTACACCAGAAAAAATGGGAATAGGTAGACCGATAATATGTCAAATGTAATTGTTGTATTTTGTAAGAATGTTTTCTACGTCGTATTATCGTGGAATTGAGTGACAGTGCACGATGTATGTAATAATACAATTTTTGATCTTATCATTCGAAGAATAGCCGTAATCTACATTGACATTTTAGTTAAGAATCTCTCTCGTCTGTCATAGTCGACTAACACTTTATCTTCGTTCGTGTACAGGAACAGGCTCACGATGCCAAGCAACAGATCGCCACGAGTCCCGAGGACACGGAGGACATGCCCGCGGGACAGCAGGGCCCGCAGGTGCCGCGGCGGCGGGGCGGAATCTCAGCGGAGCCGGTCTCCGAGGAGGATGCCACCAGCTACGTGAAGAAGGTCGTACCTAAGGACTACAAAACCATGGCTGCCCTGAGCAAGGCCATCGCCAAGAACGTGCTGTTCGCGCACCTGGACGAGAACGAGCGCTCCGACATATTCGACGCGATGTTCCCCGTGACCTTCCTGCCCGGCGAGGCGATCATTCGTCAAGGTGCGTGATCGCTGATCGAGTGCATCGAGCGCACTTGTCTTGCGCTCCTATCCTGCTATGGTTTGTTATCAATTCTCCGATTGAACGAGCGCTATGTATTTTCCCCAGGCGACGAGGGTGACAACTTCTACGTGATCGATCAAGGAGAAGTCGAAATATTCGTTAATGGCGAGCTGGCGACGACGATCGGCGAGGGTGGGAGTTTCGGCGAACTCGCGCTAATCTACGGAACTCCGCGCGCCGCCACGGTCAGAGCGAAGACCGACGTGAAGCTCTGGGGCATCGACAGGGATTCCTACCGCAGAATTCTCATGGGCTCCACTATAAGGAAAAGGAAAATGTACGAGGAGTTCTTATCCAGGGTTTCAATATTGGGTGAGTTCGCTTGGAATCTTGATTCCCTGGAGCATTACTGCTCCACTTTTCGCTCGTATAAATCAATCGTAATATCTTTTATCAAAATTCTGAGAATAACAGAGTCTTGTTACTCTATACACAAAGTTGAAGTGATCCTTGTAAGATTTATGAGACTGTTAGAATAGATAGGGAGATAAAATGGGAAGGACTGTGATATTTACGACGCACTTTGCAGAATCCTTGGATAAATGGGAGAGACTCACAGTGGCAGACGCTCTGGAGCCGGTAGCGTTCGACGACGGTGAAACGATAGTCCGACAGGGCGAACCGGGGGAAGATTTTTATATAATCGTCGAGGGTACGGCGGTGGTCCTTCAGCAACGTTCGGAAGGGGACGAACCCGCGGAGGTCGGCCGTTTAGGGCCATCGGATTATTTCGGTAATATCAAACTCGGAGTAATAATTTTCATTGATTACAAAATAGAGAAGCTAGCATGTCTTATACAGTTGTCTTATTAGCAAGATAATACCTAATATTTCAGAAAAGCGTTAGAATTTATAAATTTTTACTAATAGCTAATGATTGACGTTAAAACAATCTAATCATTAAATTTAATTCCTCAATTAATTATCTATGAAACTTAATTTTATGTTGCGCAATTAATTTGGCGCGAAAGAGAATTGGAAGAGCTCGTTCAACGACGGGAACTTTTTTTTCTGATACAGGGGAAATAGCGCTACTGCTGGACAGGCCCCGAGCGGCGACCGTGGTGGCCAGGGGTCCGTTGAAGTGTGTGAAACTGGATCGGGCGCGGTTCGAGCGGGTCTTAGGTCCGTGCGCCGACATTCTGAAACGCAACATCACCCAGTATAACAGCTTCGTGTCCCTCTCCGTTTAAACGGACACCATCTGCATCCTCCCTCCTCTTTCCTCTCCAAACCCGTCATCGCAGTCAACGCTGCCGAATCATCCCCGACTTCATTTCCTCCGAGGGCTACGTTATTTCGCCGTACCATAGTTAAATCTTTTTTTTATTTGATTAATATTTATATATAAGTGAATTAATGTATTACGTCAGCTATCAATCAGATGTGACACGCATACACACACACACACACATACACACAAAATCACACACAAACGGAATCGTTAGAGAGACGCTGTTAATTATATTTACCGTAAGGCTATTTACGCACTGTGTAGCTCGCGACTCGATGCCGACGCGCACGCGAATTCATATTGACGTTGATCTCTTCCGCGCGATCTGTTCCTACTCGTGTGAGATTCTCACGTGCGCGAGAAATTATTAATCCGTTAACGTCTGACCTTTTTCGAGGGGCTGAGAATCTATTTTTAAAACAGAAATTTATCGAATCTGAAAAAAAAAACCGCGAAGCGCCGGATACTAGCGGTGAGTTATAGAGGACAGGTTTCTTATTTGCGAGACCATGTCCCTTTTCGCTTAAGGACGCTAACGGGTTAATCCGGTTAATGGCACGTTGCATACATCTCGAGAGCATTGTAGAGATTTTTGATCGAAGCTGAACGTGTGTCCCGACGTGGTTTTTGGAACCGCATCCCGACATGGGGTCTACGTCGAAGACGCAGACGCTTAGCTCGTGTTACTACATGAAACGTGATCGAACCAATTTAAATTATTCGAAAGCCATTTTCAAGGCTTCTATTACATCAGAAGCGAAAAAAAAATCGTACAAATTGCCGCTCCTGTTTGATGGAATAGATTGGTAAAATATCCCGAAAAGTCTGTAATGATGAATAATTCAATCTACATGTATATTTTAAATTTTGAATGGAAATGGATCTCAATTGAACTAAGTAGCTTTTAATTTTCGAACCAAAGTCTTTAACGAATTTCACAAGCCTATTCTGTCGAGTAGAAGTAGCGATAAGAAAAAAGAACTGGCTTCTTTCATTGTAAACATATTGTATAAAACACGTACGAGTATTACGCTTCTGATGTAATCCGATACCGATGTAGCTACAGTGACGAGCCAGGAGCCGTAAATATTATCCAGCAGTGAGAGGATCGGCGTTGAAAGTGACGTTTTCTCGTTTACTGTTATATACTTTAAATGTTCTATGTTGTATCATGGATTGTTAAATTATTTAACATTTAAATTATTTTATCTACCGATCGCGCGAATCGGTATATATAGATATACATATACATAATTAGCAACGACAACGTAAATGTCGGTCGCGATTTGCAATTGAGGACGCCGAGAAGCCCGTCGACCGTGGTATTTATTATTAAGTGAAGCATCATCGAGGCGAAGTCGAGGCAAAACGAGTCGCAATCTATGTCTCCTCTAAAAAAAGAGTGCGCTAGGTTTATAGTACGACAAGCGAGACAAAAAAATGAGGTACAACGTCAGAAAATTAAATAATTTATTATGCACAACATCGTATTCGGATCAAGTATGGTACAATGAAATCATTTTCCCTCTCCGAATCCGTGTAATGCGGCTGATGCACATTCCATGCGCGCGCGCGAGCGAGCAAGTGAACGAACGTACGTGCGCGAATGCGAGAGAAAACGGGAGGACCTCGACCACCTAGGGAATCCAACGAGAAATAGGGGGGAAAGGGGGACTCTAACGTCGAGAGGAGCATCGTCGCGTCGCGCGCGGCGCATAGACACTTATTAAAATTAAATTACAAGGATCACTCGGCACACGATGAGAAGAGAACCGATGGTGATGCGCCCACTCGTCGCGCAAGGTATGCAGTGAAGATGATCCTTTCCCCCTTGATCTTCGGTCTTCTGTCTTCGTCCCCAAACCCAGACGTCTTCGGATGTGGTTCATCCACGAGTAACGATGTTCCCGGAGAAAAACGATCCTGCCACTTCTTCTTCCTTCTTCCCTCCGCCTGATCTACCCCGGCTTTTCTCCCGGGCTTGTCCGGGAAATGACCCTTTGTCGCGACCAGGAACGCTCTGTTCATCATTGACCGAGAAGATAGTCTCTCGAGTACAAGCGGCATAACGTACAGTCACCGCCAGTGTCCTCTCAAACGCGACTCATGTCTCCGAATTCGTGAAACGAAATCCTTTATCCGCGTTCTCTTCGAAGAACTCCTCCCCTCGAAGCGAGAGAAGCTTGCGTTGCGGCTCGGCTGGGGCAGCTACGGGTTGTTTTTCGTGTAGTAATACTTAAAGGAACACTTGGAAAATCGATCGAGCACCGTGGCAGTGAAGCGTTCATGCGCGTCACGCTACGAACGATTGAAAAGGAGAGAGCGGTCGTCTGGTCGACGAATCGTCCCGAGTTGAGAACTAACGAAAGATGAGCTTTTTTTTCTATTGCACGAAGACCACAGATTGTACCGTTTGCGTTGTGAATATGATCCTCGATGATATATAACGAGCTTTTTTCTCATCTAATTTTTTGTTTAGTGAGGTAGCGCCGAATGAACGGAAACGACCATCCGTCCGGATTTTTGTATAATTTCCAGAGATTCCCGCATATACGTCCTCTTGCGATTATGTACAATTGCGCGCGGGGGAACCGAACGAGGGAGCGTGTATGTACAAATTCACAGTCGAAGCTGTAGTCGAAGTCCCAAGCTTTCGATTTTGCACCCGACGGTGGATAAAACTGTGCGTCACCGCCGTGGGATGATGATCTGAAGATCGTTTTGCGAGAGGTAGAGCCAGCACACACGGGGGCTTCCGAGAGCGAGGGAAATTTACGGAAATATGCGTAACCCCAGCGGAATGGAAATATCTATCTGAATATGTATATATGCATATGAGTCACACAAGCGCACATATGCCGGAAACATATGCATATACACGTAGTACGACACACATGAGATTTATGCATGTACGCGTGTGTATATGTATGTGTATATATATGCGTGTATGTGTGTGTGTGGCCCTTCTTTCTCGCATGTAAAAATATCTGCCGCCACAAGGGGTAAAGGTAGGACAGTAGAGTAACGTTGCCTTCTACCAACCACCTAGACTACCACTGCTTGCCTTGCAGTCGATTTGCTGTCGAGCGAGATCAGCGTAAACCAAGCCGAACTCGCTGACAAATTCATTAAACTTGTCCAAAGACTCAAAGGCCAATTCCGCTACGACGAAATGAACCGCCAAATTTTGCCGGTAGCTAAACAGCAGAAGAAATGCAAACGTTAGATAATGGCCGCATACGGTGATATTGATAGTGAATATACATAAAACAGAAAAATAAACAATTAAATATGCAATTAATTTTCGGCTACGACGTCCTGTAACAGAAATCTGCAATTATAGTACATATGATCCTATGTTTCTTCATGAAGGTATCATTTGTTGAAAACATGACGCTGGAATTGGATTAGATATTTAGAGAAATCAACTCGATAAAAGTATACCGATTGAATTTCGATATACTTTTTTAATTATTATGATAAATCGTAATTCAGAAAAGAATTTATTTTTAGAAAACAAATGCAATAATACCGAGCAAAAACGTATAAAACGTATGCTTGCATTTACTAATAAAAAAACAAGCTGTTCTCCGAATCACCTGAGAACGAAATTTCTGTCTAAACAATAAATTGAGGGATTGTACACTTACTATTACATTATTTTCATGAGAAAAGAATAGCATATGTTGTGAGTTTATAGGCAATTATTATCCAAAATTGAACAAAATTTGAAAGCAAAATTGAACTTATTAGTTAAAATCAATACAAATTACTTTTACCAACAAAAAAAATACAACCCTTCAATGGAAAGCACAATTTCAACATTAAAGATTAAATTTAAACACATATCTACATAATAGTAACAGTAAGATTTAATACGTACGACTTTATCATGAATTTCAACGCCTTCTTTCGCTCTCTCGCGACAAACCAGTCCATCAAGAAGGCGGACATACGCGGCGCCGTCCTATACAGTTTGAAAAAAGCATGGAAGTTACCCAACCACCAAGCCGATCGTATTTTCAACGCATGCTGTATGCACTCGTCGTTTTTATCTTCTGTCGAAAGTGCCGCTAAAATTGTCGTTAAATCTGAAATCAAAAACATCGCAAAATATTCTAATGGATGTAATTTCAGACAAATATTGGATTCTCCCGCGTTGTTAACTCCGTTACCAACCTTGAGTATTTTTCGTGAAGATATAATAGAGAATCCGATACGCAATGAATTCGCATCGATTCTCACCATCGAGATCCTGATATAGCATTTTCAGCTGTGTCTGACACTGATTGAATTCCTCGTGATCACCGCGTTCTAAAGCTACACGGGCGTGGGTTTCGTATACATGAACTGTAAACGCGTCCCTGATACCTTGCACGGTAAGATCTTGCCGGATGGATTTTAATTGGTCGCAAGCATATCTGTAGTCCTGATCGGCCAGCCAACGTTTCTTGACATGAGCCAAAGAATTTTGAAGTACACTTACCGGTCGAACTGCAGAAGGGGCAGGAGCCTGCAACGATATTATATAATTTTGTCAGAGAGTGTATAAACACGAGTTACATCACGACTGCGATAAAATAATTTCATCTAAAATTTTATAGTAAGATAATTTATGTTCTCTTAATTGTAGATGAGAGATATTTTAAATGTTTAAATTTTGAATGTCCACGTACCGACGTGAGACGCAAGTAAGGCTTCTCTAGATCCTTGCACGTGCCGACGATGTGGAGCCCGGTAAAGTCGAAATCCGTGTTCGGGTCATCTCTGATAATGACGCTGCTGACGACCGTCCTGGAAATGCCGCCGTTGAATCTGGCGGCGCGCTGCTGCAGCTTCTCCTTGGTTCCCAGCTCGTCCGCGTTGCCTGTAGCTAAACCAAACTCGGAATAGAAATGCGATTTAGCCTGCTTATTCTTCTTGGACTTCTTGTTGCCGTGATTCGCCTTGTTGTTGCGCGCGGATTTTTTCACTTTGGGCGCCTTGTAATCGTGCTCCCGATCGCTAATGTTCGACGACGAGGACGTGCTGCGCCTGTTGTACCTGCGCGACGGCGGGCTACGCGTACGCGAACGCGTCGACCTCGACCTCGAGCGTGAGCGCGACCGCGACCGCGAACGGGATCGCGACCTCGATTTGGATCTGGATCTTGACCTCGATCTAGACCTCGACCTCGACCTCGTCCTCGACCGCCTGCTGTGTGTCACAGAGAGACGCGCGCCAAGCCGAGCCCCGAGTGAGCTGGAAAGGCCGGGCTTGCGCAGGCCTCCCTGTGCATTGACCAGTGGGCTCGCCAGAGGATTCGCCAGCTTTAACGCCGGCTTCGAAGGCTTGATCGTCATGGTCATACGTTCGCTGTGGATGCTGGGCAGAGGTTCCTTATCCCAGTCCTTCACCCAGAGCGAGCCGTCGTTCGCGGCGCGGGTGATTTTGCCCTTCAATATAATCTCAACCTGATCCTTATCGACCGCCGTCTTACACTTCTCGTAGCATCGGTTCACATAATTCTTCAAACTGTCGGGCCAGTCTCCGACTGGGCTGTGGGCAATGGTGGGAACAGTACCGGTACTGGTAGCCGCGTTGCTGACAGCCGTGGTGACCGGCACGACAGGATTAGGAGGCTCCTCGCTTGGCGGCGGAGGGGCCGCCACTTCGGATTGCGCGGGAGGTAGCGGTGGTAGTTCCGCGGACTTTGCGTTAGGTCCATTCGGCATGAAGGGCCCGGTAGTCGGAGCATTTCCCTGAAAGCTATTGTTGAATTGAGCTGCTAAATTTTTGTTCCGCTTACGCTTTTTCTTCGCGGCGCCGCTATTGCCGGATGGCGTGTATCCGAGACCCGTTTTCTTGTTAGGTAAGTTGAAACGGATTGTATTCTGACCATTATATTCTGTAAAGAATTAATACTGTTTTAGAGCTACACATTCAAACTGTACATAGGGATGGGGGAAGTATACCCACGGCAACAGTAAATATTGACGAGTTAAATCATACACTAATGTAAACAAACTTTCAAAACAAAAAAAGGAACGCTCAACAATGAAAGAATTTTCTTGGACGCGTTCTTCGTTAGTTTTTATATATCCAGATTTTTTCAATTTATATTCTCTTATAAAAATCCATATCGTTATTTTTATTACTAATTGTAAAAAATTAGTGTATTACATATAATATAAAACATGTAACTTTTAATAATAAAATTACTTAACAACGTGCATCGATTTTCCTCTTGTTGCAACAGCAATTCTTCGCCCATCTCTGTTTATAACAAAAAACATAAGCGATACTTACGAGAAGTTTCATTATGCATTCCATTCCAGTTATAGGGGAATGAATTGTACATCAATCCTGAATAAGCCATCGACTGTTGCTGTACATGATTGTTATGTTGTTGATTAGGTTGAACTGCTGGTGGTGGACCTGGCGGCAATGGTGGAAGATCAGATTCGTCATCCAGAGGCATTGGAGTACCAGGTATAGGAGGTTGTTGATGTAACTGCTGCTTTGTCTGATTATTTCCCTGCTGCTGCTGTTGTTGCTGCGGCTGCTGCTGCTGTTGCTGCTGCTGTTGTTGCTGCTGCTGCTGCTGTTGGTGCTGTTGATGCTGTTGATGCTGTTGCATCTGTTGAGGATTAAAAGTCTGACCGTATCCTGGCATCATGTGATAATAGTTAAACATCTGTCCTTGATGCGGCACACCTTGGCCGTATCCTTGGCCGTACATTTGGCTGCAAGAAGAGATTGCAAAAATTAGTATTTGCGAACTTCATTTTATAACAATTCTGTAATATTGGCAAATAATTTTGTTATAAATATTATCAAATACAGAAAATTACTGCAAGTCCAAATAGCCCGTCTGTGTTCTTTTTCCAAGAACTTACTGAACTGTTATACACAAATGCAATAAGTTAGACAATTAGAGTGTGAAACATAACCAAAAAGTAATCATTATCGTATCAGCGATACAGCAATGTCAGCAACATTAAAACCAATTAAAGCGAAATCTCGGCTCGCGTTCATACGAAGAATTAGGTCGCGACAAACGTCGCTCGCGCATGTATGTACAAGACAATTCATCTTAGATTGCGAAACTGCGCGTCCCCTCGGAATCTGCCTCGTTAATATGACATTCGTCGTACTCTTGAAGGGACGAGTATCCCACTGACAAATCTTACTCGATTAAAGTCTCGTCTAAAAAGAGAGAGGATCAGAGACAAGCTAAGCTCGAACTTTGTGTATGACGCGATCTCCACATGAATCATCCCGCACATACATACATATACGGATAGACGCGCATATCAGGCCTCTCGCGTTACGTTCGTCGAACGAGCAACTTCGGCGAATCCAACTCCAGATTATAAAAGCGAGATCGTATATCGCGATCGCGAAAGTGAAGCCGCGAGAGAGTCTGGCGGACGTAAATCCGACCATGAGACACTTCGAGCAACTTCGAGAAGCCGTCGCGCCACCGAAATGGCCGACTCCATTGTTGCTCCGTTGACATATCGTTACTCCGACGCCGCGACTCACCCTGGGTACGGTGGGAACATATTGTGCATATTGTTCGGCGGGTACTGCCACGCCATATTCGCCATCGGACCCGCTCCGATCGGCGGTTGCTGCTGCTGCTGCTGTTGCTGCGGATGAAACGGCTGCTGCTGTTGCTGCTTCTTCTGCGACAACGCCTCGCCTTCTGACATACCGTGGAATAAAAAATATCAGAATTGCTGGGAGAGATGGCCGCCTGCCTCCCCCTCCCTACTCGTGGCGCGTCGCGGAT